AGAGGCGAATTCCGTCTTTAGAAATTACCAACTGTTATTTAAACTATATACAACATATAGTACTATGTCAGACATGTCACAGAGTATACACCACCAGCCTGGAGTCCACAACTGCAAAAGGGTGTGAAAAAAATTACAGAAAATCCAGAGAATGCAAATAAACTGGCGAATAAACAGGACAATCGTGAGATGAGACTTAAAAAGAAACTTAACATACCTTAGAGGAAAGAAGAAACTGGAGAGACAGGATAGCAATGAACAAGATTCTCACATGTCTTATTGAACTTGCAAGGGCAGACTGAATGTTTAGTGATACAATGACATGTAGGAAAGATTTTTAAGAATAAAACTGACCATAGAGACGCCAGGAAAAACTTCTTTAATGTCATAGATGTGATGTAGTGGTTTGATCCTACGCAAAATTTTAAGGAAAGGTATGGCAAGGCCCAAAAGGTGGGGAACCAGTGACACCAGTCGTATTTGGTTAACGCCAAGAGGCAGGGTCGAGAGCTGAGACCCAGCCCCTTTAACCACAGCTAAGCAGGATCCATACATAGCTTTAAAAAGAGGTATGATAAAGCTCATCGAGCAGGGAGAGAGTAGTCCTAGTAGCGACCAGTGAAGAGGCGGGGACAGGAGCTATGACTCGACCCGTGCAACCACAATTAGGTGAGTACAGTTAAGTTAGTAAACACACCACACACACACACACACACACACACACACACACACACACACACACACACACACACACACACACACGCACACAAACACACACACACACACACAGAAATAACAAACACACGTCTGTCAAAAAAAAGAAAGGAAAACGAAAGACAACACAAAAAAGAGCATCACTGTAACAAATCCTCCCACAATGGTATAAAAAACATGTGTTTGTTTTATCACCCACGACGTAAACAAAGCCTCCCTCCTATCCCCCCCAAACCCACCCCCTTTATCCCTACTCTCATACCTCGTATTGTGTGTCACTAGCTAGGCTCTAGACAGATGTGAGTGAGCGTGTGTGCGATAATAATAATATATATGTATATATATATACATATATATATATATATATATATATATATATATATATATATATATATATATATATATATATATATATATATATATATATATATATGTACATGATGTGTGTGTGTGCAAATTAAAGTCCAATATTGGAAACATTATTATTATTATTATTATTATTATTATTATTATTATTATTATTATTATTATATTATTATTATTATTATTGTTGTTGTTATTGTTGTTATTGTTGTTATTGTTGGTGTTGTTGTTGTTGCTGTTGTTGTTGTTGTTGCTATTATTATTCTTATTATTCTTATATTATTATTATTATTATTGTGATTATTATGATATTATTATTATTAATATTATTAACAATATTATCAAGTGATATTATTATTATATGATAACATGGAAGCTATAATGTTTTATTTGAAAATTTATGACAGTCAAGGTTTTATTCACTGTAAAAATAATATTTAAATGTCATTATTTAGGATTTCATTTAAAAATTATCAGTAATAAAAATATTAGTAATCTATAATAATGATGATTTATCTCCTTTATTAATACATTATTTTAATTATTTTTTCATATCATACATTTATAATCTTTTTTCATATTATTTTTGCTTTAACTTACATGAAATTATACATTTTATTAAATCAATGACAGAGTTAAGTCAAAACATATTTATTATTCCTTTAACTATATCAAAAATCGATCTATATTAAAAAAAATTACATATTTAGATTTAGATATTTTTAATATCCATTTGCACATTTATAATCGTATATTATAGGGGAATTAATGTTCAGTTATCAGAGGCTACTGAGTAACTGTCATCAGATATACTGGAATATTAGCATATTAAACTTTACATTAGCACTTTCAACACCATTCAGCATTATTCTTAATTATTTTGCCTCATTAAAACTCCAACAATATGCATTATATTGTTTACATTGCGTATTCTAATTGTTTTTGTCGGCAGTTAATTGTTCAGTAGTGAAATTAATTGATTAAAGAACGTCTAGAGTTTTAGCAAGATTCCAAAGATGAAGTTAGTATAGTTGTTTAAATGATTTGTATTCGTAATGTCACTGATTTCAATTAATAATAATAACAACAATAATAATAATAATAATAACAACAATAATAATAATAATAATAATAATAATAATAATAATAATAATAATAATAATAATAATAATAATATTTATAATAATAATAATAATAATAATAATAATAATAATAATAATAATAATGATAATAATAATATTACTAATAAATTATAATTATTTTTTGTATTTTATTATTATTGTTATTAGTTTTAATTCATTTAGATTTTATAGTTTATTTAATTTCTTTCTTTTTTAATAACTAAATTACAATCCAGGACAACTTATGGATAACACTTTAAGAAGAGTCATGTGATAACTGTGTTAAGTTAAATATTCTTAAAAAAATTTTCTTTCACCGGGAAAATATCTATCTATCTATCTATCTATCTATCTATCTATCTATATATATATATATATATATATATATATATATATATATATATATTATATATATATATATTATATATATATATATATATATATATATATATATATATATATATATATATATATATATATATATATATATATATATATATATATATATATATATACCTGCAAGCAAGGCATTCTGACTACATATAAATATTTCTTTTAAAACAGCAATAGGTAACATACTCCAAAAGATTTGTATGTCTGTATATATGAGATTGCATTAACTTATATTTTAAACCGTTAAATTTACTTGGTTTTAGTGATCTTATTGAGTCATGCACTCAATAGGTATTATGGCTAATTAACTACAGCAGCTAAAAAAATAAAGTGACAGCATTGCATATATATTTTCCTTTTACTCTGAAGAACTGCTGATCAAGAATGACTCAGAATTTCATAAGGAAAATGATGTCTGACTGGTGTTGCAGTGCAATTAAAAGAGTAGCATATTGTATGTGATATAGCAATAATGTTGAGCCAAGCATCTCACTTATATAGCAACAGGAGTGACTACCTCACCAAAGTTCATCATTTTTGTTCCTTTTAACATTTCATGTGAACAAATCTCCCAACATAATTTTGATGGTACTGCTGCTGCACAAATTATTCTGTTTAATGTTTTTTTCATGATTATAGACCAGAGTGCAATAAATAACCTTTATGATCTAACTGTGTCCTGCTCTCTCGACCAACTTGTCTTTATATATTTTTGTATACCTCCACCCGTGCTGATTTTTTGTTTTCTTCTGCCCTTTTTTTTTTTAACAGGATTGATGGGGTTGTATGGTCATTGTGCATAGCTTTACGGTCTAAGTTGACTAGACACAAACCCTAAGGTACGAACGTTGCGATGCAGCCTCTTACACCTGGTGTGGAAATGGCGGAGGTACAATGCTTAAAGCTCTTGTACCGGAGTTGGCAGCGAGGCCGGCTCTTGTCCAGTTTTTCACTGTCTTTCGTTCTCGTTGCAGATATCATGGGCGTTATCGAGCGGTTGAGGTTCCTGCCACGGCCGCTAGATGGCAGCAGCGGCAACCGAGTGTTAGCACGCGTTTCTGCGGTCAGACGAGTGGCAGCCTCCGAGGACGTAGCATCTGTCATCATGCTCTTCGCAATAAACGTCACTGCAATTTACACCTTACCTTCTTTTTGCTATACTTTTATGGGGATATGAGTAAATTTAACTATGGGTTATTGGGCAATAATAAACCAATGTTACTAACTACCAAGGAGCTTCTGTCCTAATTATAATCACTAAAGAAATGTTTTATAGCATTTTCTTTTTAAACCCAAGTAACTAAGATAAAACCTGACGAACATAACTCTTGTAAACACTTTTTTTTTTCATTTTTATATCCTACTGTTTAGCATGAGGGAAAGAGGAAATGAAGAGAGGATGAGAATGATAGTATCTCTATTCACTTGCTGAGCCTGTTATCTGTCCCTGCAGCAGCTGGGGCGGTCAGGTGAAGTTTTATTAGAGACTAGAGGTGGTTTCTGGGCCGCTTTGACACTAGCGGCGCGGTCACTGCGGTTTATGGCCGATCACAAGTCGTTTTACACTTCATAAACGGGTGGCTTTAGTTGACCTCTACACCGCATATGCTTTTGTCTCCTTTTCTTATGTCTTTTAAAAACAAATGCACTGGGAAGAGTTGTAAGATAAAACAGGTATGAGATATAAGAAATTTCTAGCATGCTTGCACCGTCTTTCTTCTTGAAGGACGTGCAGAAAGGGTTGAGATGCATAATAATAGCCAGCAACATGCTCTGTTTCAGCTGTGGTTTGCAACTAGAGTAATGTAATAACATGCAAGTACAGTTTTCCCAACGTTCTAATGTCCTGTTTAAAGCACAGAGATGGGACAGAGGAGGGAGCGAGAGAAACTTGTACACCAAAGGGATCAGGCAAGGGCCATTAAGGGAATGTGCAGCACCTCTTGAGCCTCATAAACACTGGAATAACTACATGCACTGAGATTTTATAGCATTACAAAACACTTCTTTTTCTTGGATATTCACTCATTAATGCTTATATAGTTATTTTCTATGACATTATATTTTTTTTTATCTTTCTTCTTATAAGACACATACACACATTGCTCTGATATATTTTGCACATAGAAGCTCGTATAATGTTCAGAATTAACTTTCAGTAAGACTAGCTAACACAAGCACTGAGTTGGACAACACTGTACCACAGCTCCAGAACGACAAGCTCTTGATTAAGGATTGTATCTTGCAGGATGGCAGGAGGAGCTCTCCTGTAGAAGGAATCACACTTAAGGTGGGGACATGAAAGCTCAATAGGACTCTACGTGAGGTGGGAGGCTACATGCTGCATAAGAGGAAACCACGAGCTTCTAGCTACAGGGAACAGAACTACATGACACAAGGCAACCTTACCTGTGATGGACATCCATGGGTATCGAGGAATGTCAGGAATATGAGGCGTCGGGGTAGGCTGACTACAGGAGTTGAGTTGACTGGCGACGTTGTTCTGGTGAAGGTACTGGGCCATATTGCTGGTGGTGGCACAATTCTGCAGACTGAATCCATACTGGGACATATCCGTGGCCCCGGTCTGAGAGTAGCGGCACTGCTTGTCCCCGTCTGTGGTGGCTGTCATCACGCTGAAGGGTGACATGCTCGTCGTGTTGGAGGACAGCTGATGGGAGGCCACAGTTACGTAGGGGTATAGACTTCTGCTAGGTGCGTTGTAGTTTATCAGGTTAGCCGCAGAGTCTGCCTGATACTTGGGCAGAAGAGGGTCCACATAATTTGGATTTGAATTTAGATTTGAATTCATTGTTCACATAATTCTTCCCAGTGGTAACTACTTAGTAACAACTGTGTACACACCAGCCTCGACTACCTGTGATGGCAAATGAATCCTTTTCTGAATTAGACACCAGGCACGAGAACTCCGAGCGGTAAACAAGTCTGCCCAATCAGTAGGTAAGGGAGCCCGGAGAACCAATAAGCGCTCGCCTTGGTCGGACCTTCATTATTAGCGCGATAAGGCTGGGAGGGAGAGCCCGACTACACTCAAAACACTATCGCCATCTGTGGACCAATCGCAGAACTAGGCGGTGAAGCCAGCCAATACGGGCCGCGCCGCCATCTTGGATATGGGCCGGCAGGCTGCGACGCGTCGAGCGCCACACAAACACACATCTCGGAATCAAGGAAATTATGGGTGGCACGCTGCCGGCGGTGTTATTACAAGCGGTCCTCCAGCGGCCTGCCCACACTGGACTCCAGCAGGTAATTTTAAGCGAGTGTATCTAGTGTTATAAGGTGTGTGAGGGTAGCATCTTAGCCTCGGGAGCCAGCGAGCCCCCGCTTCAACGTCACGCATCTGCTCAGTCCTGCGTCCTCGCCGGGACCACCACTCCTCCTCCTCCTCCTGATGATCCTCCCCCTCCTCCTCCTCCTCCTCCTCCTCCTCCTCTTCCTCCTCCTCCTCCTCCTCCTCCTCCTCCTCCTCCTCCTCCTCCTCCTTCTACCTCCTCTGCTCCCTTCTGCGGTCTTTCCCTAGTCTCCTCTCTCGCTCCACAAGAATTTCCACAGGCCTAGTTGTCTGCTATGCCAGAGATAATACATCAAAAATTGATTAAATGTCAACTGGGGCGGCTCATACTCACGCACGCACGCTCGACCCACTCAAAATACGACTCGTTCTAAACGCATGTTGGAAACCAAGTGAAGGAACAAATGCCTGAGTGCCTGCATGATGCCACAAGATTCCAAGAGGCGCAGTTCGATCCTCCGCCCAATAAAATCCCGAAATTTGTTTACCCAACTCGTTATTTCGTTAGCGATGTAATTAACAGCGACTCATGTCCCATCGATTTTTTTTCGGTCATGTGCCACTACTTTTGTTTCTTGACATTTTTTTTTTCCAGTTTCTCGGTGTTGTTTCGAGGTTGGTACACAGCAGGTGGGGCGTTTGGCTTCTTCGGGAGACTGTCTCTTCCTTCATAACCTTCAAACTTTGTTAGACGGGCTTTGACAGACAGTAGAGAGAGGGCGTCAACACTGCAGTCTGTTCCATTTTGTTTCATTATTTCTAAGGAGACTAAAATGTTGAAACTCTTTCTAAATAATTCAGCAAATAACACAAAATAATAAAATGAATTTCTATTCATGAATTTTCAACATGAATAGGTTTTATTTGATTTTCTTTTAGGCGTAATATACGCTGATAATTATTTACAATTCATAACAGGTCTTATTTTTTTAATTTTAAACCACTGTAAAATTCACACTAAATCAGGGAAAAATTCCTCTTAATCTTCAAATTAAGTACTTAATTCCTAACAGCATAAACCGCAACAATAACATAAAATAAATATACTAAAAATACCGCTTGAATTACCGCCGAGTCACGCCATTTGCCGCACTCTTTCCACTAAGCGGCTTGCGAGGTTAGCGCGCACTGTCTTTACACCTCCGTTTATCGTTATATAAATTCGACAACGTCTTATATATGCTGTTTGATCAACCTAAAAGCGTCAAAATGCACTCGGCAGACCATATAGAGCGTAATAAGGAGGACGGCACGCAAAATGGTCGTTGGAAGGAGTGAGCGGACATGACGGGGCTAGCGGGACTTGCAAATGGCGAAGCGCCTGGCTCCTCCCGCTCGCTGGCCGCCACTATTCTCTATCACGTTATTTCACTACTCGTTCTATCCACATTGAAACAAATACATTTTCTACGTGTTTGTTGTTTGTTTATAAATACAGATCCATCACACATTCCTAGTTAAACGCTCTCCGCCTGCCACAAAAGACTGGATTTAAATAATAAAAACGTCTCAATGTTTCGTATTTTGTTTTCACGTTAATTTTTTTTTACTCACGATGTTTCGATGCGCACAAAAGATCAATAAAAAAAATATGACCACATGGCCAGCATCCCGACGTGCGTGTAAGGTAGCCACGTAAACCACGTAAACTGGCTGAAAAAATATAACACAGTAAACCCGGCGGCCGCGGTCATCTCTCTAGGAGGCGTATCTGATTTGGGGAGATGGAGGGTGGTGGTGGTAGACTAAGCGGCGAGGTTTGGGGTTTAGACAGGCCTGAATTGGGGGATATATAGGCCTAGTGATTGGTGAGTGGGCTTAGTTTTTAGGTGGTCAGTATCGCAGTGAAAGGGTTATTGCCGACACTTGCGAGCAGTCTGCTCTAGTACGGGTGTGTGTGCGGTGAGAGGCAGAGTCCTAGTCTAGGCCCACCAAGTCAGCCGCTTTTCCCGCTCCATAGTCACTTCCCAGCTCCTCTTTTGAAAAATCCAGTACCGTCATTGGATTACTTGCGAGTGATTCCATAGTGCTAAAACTACAATCGGAAATTAACGAGTTCAATTTCGCCTCAAGACCAAAGAAGAAACTAGAATCAGATGTGAAAATAACCAAACTTTTTACACACTAGCGGCAGCATTCTCCTGACGCGAGAGTTTAGCGGCGGCGACCGCTAGTGCAAGAAGTCTGGGTGAAATTCTCTCCAAATTTTATTTAAGCAGACTTCATATACGACATTTCACGCTAATACACAGCTTGGGCACCGAGAGAGAGAGGCATGTGTGAATCCCAACACCTCAGAAGGCTGGAAAACGCCAAGGAAACACTGTTATTTAGTCGGTAAGTAGATCCCGGGGGGCAAGTAGACGGTGTAAAGCAAGAATGACACTCCATGTTTCGCAGCGGCAGCGCTGGTAGCGGCGCTCCCCAACTGTGTACCGCTCGAAGCCGTCGTGTCGTTGAATATTGCACTCGGCTTGTCGTCGCTGTAGTCGGCGAGTCGTGGTCACTGTGGAGGTGAT